CAGCCTATGGCCCAAATCTGGCCCACTGCCTGGTTTTGTATGGCTCAAAAGCTAAGTGCAGTTGTTACATTTTTAAATGTTTTTTTTTAAGTCAAAAGAAGAAGAATATTTTGTGGCATCTGAAGATTATATGAAATTCAAATTTCAGTATCCGTAAATAAAATTTCATTGGAACACAGCCATGCTCATTAATTTACATGTCTATGGCTGCTTTTGCACTGTAACAGCAGAATTGAGTAGTTGTGACTCAATTTGCCAGGCAAAAAGCTTTTATTTTTATGTGATTAAATTTATCAATATTTTCGTGATCTTGAGTCATGGTTAAAAAGGAATTTAACCCCTGGTCTCTTTCTTCCAGTTTTCATATGGCTCCATTTTTTACATACATACACACATACAGACACATACACACACACACTCACACACTTAGTGAGATATATTGCAAGGACAAAAAAAGTTGCAAATAAATCTAAAACCTCATTTAGTACTTTTATTATTAGTAGGCTTGTTGGTTTTATTATTTTGAAGCTATTTTATGTAAATTGCAGGATTAAAAAAATCAGTAATTATGTCAATGTTGTTAGGAAACTAGATTTTCAATGTAAGAAAAAAAGAAATACAAATGTAAAATCAAGAAAATTAGGTAAAAACTCTGAAGCATTATATGTGATATGAAATTATCAATATAAACTCATTCTTTTGAAAATTATATATATATATTTTTTGGCACAATTAATTTTAATGTCTCTCCTTTGGGTGGGGGAAAGGTCGCACTATCCACTATTAAAGATACCCCAAATGTTGTCTGGCACTTTGGTATAGAAAGGATTTGGTCCAATCTTGTTCTGGCTTAGGATACAAAAAGGCACATAAAGTTGGTGGTTCAAATGCCTCTCTGCTGAGGTGGAGCAGAAGGTGGACAGGGAAGTGATCTGGGAGAGAAGGTAGAAATGTGGGCTTGAGTTCTTATTGACCAAGGTAGTTGGTCTTGGATGGATGCTGGGGTGGCCAAAGGCAGCCTGAGCCCTCAGGCTGGGTAGACGCTGCTGTGGTGGCCCCCGTCTGCCAAGTTCACCAGCTTGATGCTTTGGAACCACAGGTGGATCTTCTCTGGGCTTCCTCCACTGAGTCGCTGGCGTGGATAATGTTCCTGCTGATGTGAACGCTGAAGTCTCCCGGTATGATCCCGGGGATAGCCTCAGGCAAGTCGGTGTATCCTATCATTGCTCTCGAGGGTGGAACACATTGTACCCTTCCAAGATCATGGCTACCACAGGCCAGAGCTCATGTAGCTGATGAAGGTAGGGTAGAAGGGCTTTCTCCGCAGGAGGTGCCTTCTCCGCAGAAGGCAAGGAAGCCTTCTGTTATGGGCACGATCTTCAACCACACCAGGTTGCAGCCCCGCTTCCAAAGCCCTGGATCACACCTCAAACAAGCTGCCCACTGCACCCCATCTGGCTTCAACTTGACCAGGGTCTGCTCCTGAGTCCGGAAGGGTCCGTCGGAGCTGGAGCGCACCAGCTGGCTCCGCCCTGAGCCCACCAGCTGCACAGCAGCCCCGGCGCACCCATGCTGGACTAGACCTAAAAATTATTAGGTCATTAAATCTGAAATGTCCAATTTCAAATCAAAAGTGTAGTTTATTGTATCTCAAACAAGAAGCAGTACAATTAATCAAAGTATGCCCCTGACCTATCAACAGGGTTTTGCCATCATAAGGGTAGCTTGTTTATGCCAGCAGCAAAGAAGCCTGGAGAGTGAGTGGTAATGAAAGGTTTTCCACAGCTTGTTAAAAATAGAATACTTTGGCCGGGCGCGGTGCTCACGCTTGTAATCCTAGCATTCTGGGAGGCCGAGGTGGGCGGATTGTTTGAGCTCAGGAGTTCGAGACCAGCCTGAGCTAGAGGGAGACCCCGTCTCTACTAAAAAAATAGAAAGAAATTATCTGGACAACTAAAAATATATATAAAAAATTAGCCGGGCATGGTGGCGCATGCCTGTAGTCCCAGCTACTTGGGAGGCTGAGGCAGTAGGATCGCTTGAGCCCAGGAGTTTGAGGTTGCTGTGAGCTAGGCTAATGCCATGGCACTCTAGCCAGGGCAACAGAGAGAGACTCTGTCTCAAAAAAAAAAAAAAAAAAAAAAGAATATTTTTCTTTGTAAGTAGTCCAAAGCCTGGAAGAAGTGGTAGTCAGTGGTGCAAGGTCTGGCCAATATGGTGGGTGACAGAGAGTTTCCAAACCCAGCTGCTGTAGTTTGAGCAGCGTTGTTTGTGCGACATGTGGTGGAGCGTTGCCTTGCAAGAAGATTGGCCTGTCTCTATTGACCAGTCTTGGCTGCTTAGTCACAAGCATCCTCATCACTTTGTTCAATTGGTTGTAGTAGACATCCACTGTAATCGACTGACCAGGTTTCATGAAGCTATAGCGGATAATACCAGCACTGGACCACCAAATGGACACCATTAGTTTTTTAAATACATTGAATATATATTAAAATCCATGCATCTGTAATGATACTAAAAAAAAAGAACCCTTCCCCAAAAGGGGAAAATGTTTTTCATGTGCTGCCACTGGTGGTGACTATTGATAGATATATTGGTATATATAGATGTATATAAAATTCTGAAAATCTGTGATTAAAAGCAAAAAAATATTTATTCTGTCTTATTAGTAGGAAGACTATGTAACCAAACACATAGCAACCATGTGGGATTTATTTCAGGAATTCTAAGATAGTTCACTATTAGAAAATCTATTAATAAAATTCATCATTAATGGATCTCAGGTGAAAAATGATCATCTCCATAGGTGTTGAAAAGTATTTGGCAAAATCAACAATCAGTCTTGATTTTTAAAAATTACTCTGTAAGATAGAAATTAGGTACTTTTCCTAAATTGTGATCAAATATTCTTCAGATCCATATATATAGAATTTACATATACATTTTTAAAAACTGCAAGGTGAAGCAGTAACACAAGAGGCATTTCTACTAAAGACATAAAAAGACAATGATGCCTGGATCACCTCTATTATTTAACATTGTATTGGAGGTAATAGCCAATGCTATTAGGTAGGAGAAAGATGTTAGGAGTGTAAAAATGGAAAAGGAAGAAGGAAAACTACTATTATTTGCAAACAATATGGTTGCCTCCCTAAAAAACCCAAGAAATCAACTGAAATTTCATTGTAAGAGAATTCTGTAAGGTAGCAGGGCACAAAATTATACAGAAATTAATAGCTTTTATGTCTTCAGACTACATCCAGATAGAAAATGTAATAAAAGAAGAAAGTCCCATTTATAATAGCAACAAAAAATAACTAGTAATAAATCTAAAACAAGAGTTGCAAAACCTATATGAAAAAACTTTGAAGACAATACTGATGGATACAAAATAAGATGAGCAAATGGAAAGATACCTGTTCTCAGACAGAAATACTCATCGTTACTAAAGATGTTGGTTAAGTTAATAAAAACTATAATCTGATTTCAATAAACATTCCTGTAAGAGTTGATTTGATTTCCTCTCTCCACCTTTTTTTTTCAAGTACACAAGTTAATCCTAATGCCCATATTTAAAAAGTAAACATGAGAGAATAGCCAAGAGACATCAGAAAAAAAGAAGAGCAAATGGTGGGGACCAGCACTTTCAGGTTTATTAAAATACATTTAAAAGTCTCAATAATTAAAGCAGTGTGGTAATAGTGCATGAAAGGGAGACAAACCAGTGGCATCAAACAGAAAAATCCAGAAACACACTCCAAAATATATAGGAATTAAATAACAAAGGTTCATCTCAAACCAGTGGGGCAAAGATAGACTACTCAACAATTCTTGAGACTACTAAGTAGCCATTTGAAAAAGGATGAAGTCGGATCCTTACTTTACATGTTATACTAAGATAAATTCCAAATGAATCAATATTTAAAATGAAAATTAAAATAATAATAATTCCAGAAGAAAACATGGGAGAATTCTTTTAATGTTTTGAAATGTAACGTTGACTCAAAATCCAGGTGCCATAAAATAACACTTAAATTTGACTACACAGAAATAAAAAATCGGCTGGGCGTGGTGGCTCACGCCTGTAATCCTAGCACTCTGGGAGGCCGAGGCAGGAGAATCGCTCAAGGTCAGGAGTTCGAGACCAGCCTGAGCAAGAGGGAGACCCTGTCTCTACTAAAAATAGAAAGAAATTAGTTGGACAACTAAAA